ACTGTACAGAGATTAATTACTGAAAATAACAAATAAAATATAAAGCTTTCTCTTAAGAAACGTTTGATAACTGTCTGGACATTATAAAGATTTTGCTTGTGAAATTTAAAAATTCCGATGCATAAAAGTAGTTTTATTCTTAAAATGAATATTACTTTGCATGATAGATAGGCAAACATGCGAAAAGAAAAAATAGACATGAGAAAAACATTGCTTTATAAACTTTAAGACTTAATAAAAACAATGTCATATTTTGCAAATGAAAGCATTGTAATGTTTACTGATAATTTGCCAAATTTTGCTAACATTTGCTTACTAATTTAAAATTTATAGCGTGAAAACTATAACAAGCAAAAAATGGTTATAAGGTCGGTCCCAGGTACCGAGCCCTTGCTGTAAGAGTTAACGCTGATGGTATAATGTAAGGAAATTCTGAAACATTTGTATTAAATATATTTTTTTGGTATAACCATGTTTTTAATATTTATTATAATGTTACAAGTGTCTTTACTAAAAATTTGCTTTGAATTTACAACCTTTACTGAGTCATTCTGAATCAAAGGTGATTTTCATGCTAAGAATAAAGACACTTCTTTTCATCTTATAGTTTCATATTTCATTTGCATAACCTCTTAAAACTTTATTTTCTCTATCCTAATACTAACTGTAGTCAAATCATCAATATATTGTGAAATAAAAAGTTGAAAGTATAAAATTATTTTGTTTTTGCAAGAATAACTTCGGATTGAAACAGGCACTTACAGTTACTTATCCTAAGAGCCTTATCTTCAGACGTTACATTTCTGCTTTCTTTTAATTCTGTGATTTTATTACTGTTCTTTGGATGCTCTCTATGCATGAGAACCAATAAATCATGATGGAATGTTTCCAGTTCAACTCAGAGTAAACATGTGATCTGGTTACAGTTATGTGCTAACTGTGAAAGCTTTTCTAGTTTCATCATTGAATCTTATTTAAGTTTTGTTATCCAGCCTAAGAAGTTTCTAATTTTTATGTTTTAGTTACTTTTGTTAAGAAAATACATAATAGTAAATAAAAAATTACATAAAAAACAAAATTTAGCACTTACTTTAAAGATGAGGACACTTGCATTCGGATTGCATACTTTGGTAATTTTTTTTTTCTACCTATGTTGGTTGTTCAATAAATAATTCATGTAGCTTTCCAATATGCATCTTAGAACACAAAAATATATTGGGCACTAGAATTGAATGCCCTAAAACTACTATAATTTATTTAGCTTTCTAACTAAAGAATATATATATATACGTTAAATTTATATTACTTTTTGGAGCAAAATCTTTAGTCAACATACACCAAGATTTTCTTGCAAACTATGATCTTTGACCACCAAAACTAAACAGATGAACTAAGATTCTTGTAAATTGCAGTATCCTTTTTCTGCTGGTTATAAACATGACCATCAGACAAATAAAAATGAATGAATAATTTGCTTATAATGAATGAAAAGATGTGAAGGTTTTCTCTGATGGGTTTGACAAATTTATTGATATCTCAACAAATCAAAAAGTAGGAGGTTAAAATTTTATGTTCTTACTTGTCAGTATGTACAGTTTGTAATTATAATTGGATAGAAAAGCTGGTTGTTGAAGCTATAAAAATTAAAGAGGAGAATACAGGGGGAAAATGTGTCATGTATCACAGAAGAGTGAAGACAGAGTTTAAATATTTCTTTTTCAGATTAAGAAATGAAAGGGTATGTTACACTATATTTTGAATTATAAACTACATTTTGATAGTTTATTGAAATACATTGTTAACAAAGTTGTTTTTCTAACTTTGAAATGTAACTCTGTAAATAAGTTCATGACTTACACTTTCACCCACCTGCATGCAGAGGTTAAAGTGCAGTGGTAGGAAAGTATCAGCATGGAGACAGACTTAAAATCTTTTGGAATCTGCTTTAATTGTGTGTACTCTTCACTTATTTGTTCAAAATTACATAGAGTTGTTTCTTTTAACTCTTAAACATCATTTTTATGTGTGAAATTATTTAGATGGAAAACTCGATTAGACAGAGATAAACATTATCTGATGAAAACTTGAGAGAGCAGGATTGTTTTCAGTAATTAAGGGTTTTTGTTACAAATGAAAACATTACAGACATATGAAATGTCATACATTATGAGATTATTTTCATATTCACATTACTTTTACGTGAGAGAAATCATGGGAACTGGGATTTTCAGATACATAAGAAATCAGTATTGAAAACAAAAGCTAGTAGGATAGGGAGGAGCTCACACATGAACATGCATAGTATTTCATACTTACCTTTTAAAATGCTTGGTTTGTAAATAACTGTCAGAACTTTGCTCCAGTGAAAATTGATATTCACAAGTATTGCCTCAATATTTTGCAAAATGACCAGTTTTTACTTTGGTCTAATCATTGCAATTATAAACGCTTGTATGTAGTGGTTGTCTTAATATTTCATGAAATAATCAAATTGTATGTTAACCAGTCCAATGTTTATTGATCATCCTAGCAATAAAAAATGAAAATATTTAGTGTCCTAGATAGCATAAAATGCACCAGAGAGTACGTAGTCCCCTCTTGCTTCATGGAACTTCCTCACTTCTGACTGGAAACTAGGAATAACCTAGTTTCATATGCTGTTCCTGTCACTGAAACTGAGGTTATTGTGTTTGTAAATTCAGTTGTTACATGCATGAGCTTACAGTTAAATTTGGATTAGGTAGGCCTGAAAATGATATATTAATAATAAAATTGCAAAAAAAATTGAACATATATCTTCAGTTTTACCCATCCAAATCTTCAAAAAGATGTGTTTTATCTGAAGGGAATAATAACAGTAATGAATGATATTGTTTTGATCAGATATTTATGTACATTTCTTTAGGCATTGGTGGATATTCATGGACCTCAGCCCGAAAAACATGAAACATCAAATGTTGAGGATCCTTTAACACTGGATGAAGTAATGATAATACAGGTGAAGAAAATGTTTACTTATACGAATGTTTAACCTCTGCAACTTGGGCTGTTTCTAGAGATTGTACACTTAAAAGTTTTACTAATACAGTTTAAAATATTCTTCTAGTAGATTAATTGTTAAATAATGTTTTGTTTATATTCATTTAAATGTTCATACAATAATAAGTTTATCATGCACACACACAAAATGTACTAAAACTAATGTTGAACTGATTGTATATAAAATGTTTTATACATTCATCAATGATTAACAACTTCGTAATGAAGCCGAAAGTGAAGATGAATTTAAGACATAAGGATTTAACACATAGATTTAGAATTGTAAAATGAAGTCTAACTATCTACAAAACTAATACATAATAAGTCAAAATCAGATATAATAATAAAAATAAATCTTTAGTTGTTAGTAATGTCACTAAAAATACTTGTATAAATGTTATTTTGTTCTTTTTTTTTTTTACTGAACTAATTTCCAAATGTTTATGAATAGGGAGCCTTATCAATGAGAGACAAAACCGTTCGAAATGCAATGGTACCTGTAGACAAAGTCTTTATGATGAGTTGTGACACTATTCTGAATGAAGCTGCAATGATGAAGGTGCATTTTGTTTTGAAATCACTAAACAAATAAAAATATTTATCTCTTACAGACAAATTTTCAATTGTGTATGTGTGTGATGTTTGTTGAAATGAATCCTGAAACCTGGAATTTTCTTGGAAAATCAGGAACCTAAGTAATGTAACATACAAGTTTTTTAAAATGTTAAGAGTATTAAAAATATGAAAGCTAGCAGTTTGTAATTTGTTTTTAAATTTTAATGCTGCAAAATGCCTTTCATACACCTCATTTTACTAAAAACTGAGTGAGTGATCAGTTTCATTATGGGTAACAAACATCAGACAAAAGGTGAGTGAAGAGAAAAATCAATATATGATATGGTTCAGGTCTTTATTGATACATTGAATATTTGTTGTCAATATTTGAATTGTTGTTGTTGAATGTCTTAGCATGTTTAAAATACTTCTTTCACACATACTTAAATCAGAATTTAAACCTAAATCCAGAGATGTGTAATACTTCCATCTTTACCTTTTTAGTTAGGTTCAGTAGTAATTGCAAAGTTTGCAAGTTTTCAAATTAAGATTGTTCACCAATTTCCTGTTGAATCCTGCTGTTATGAAGTGAGCCTGTCTAATACTTGCAGGAAAATCAGTTCATTTGAGAATACCAAAATAGCAATATATTCCATTGAATCAAATATTCCTCCATTCAAAATCAATACACAGAGCCTTGGAATACCTTCCAAATGGTCTTGTATTTGACAGGTGCTAACCTACATCAGTAACCCTCAGTCCTTTCATCCCTTGCACTGAGATCAATCCTCAGAGGCAAGGTTAAATTCACTTGTCTGGATGTTGCAGACATCAACAGATCTTCCCAAGTCTGCAGCATGGATGAAAAGATTTCTCCTAGGCTCAACATCTTTCTCATACAAACATCTCTTCAGTGGCAAACTCTCCTTCTTGGACATGAGTATTTCAACATTCAGAATAAGCCATTCTTTCTAATAAAAGCATCCCTTTAAACTTGTTTAACTGGAAAGATTGATTAAGCAAGGGCCAATATTCACATTGACAAAACAGAAAACTCGTGTAAGTATTAAAAAGTTCTTAATAACAGCAGGGTTGAATAGGAAATTTGAAAAATTGACTTAGTTTTAAGCAGCGTGTAATAAACAGTCTGGAAATGTGATGATAAGTGTAAAATAATTCATTATAATACATGCAAAAAAAATGCTTATGTACTTTCATAAATGAGTGGACAATTGCCATCAATGGATAAGTGTATCAATCATTAGCTCTCATTCTGAAGATATGGACCTCTGTCAAACTAATCTCTTCAGTAACCAGATAAAACTGAGAAATATTAGATGCTTTAATCATGCAAAAAAGTTTGTATTTTTCTTTTTGTGAGGGCATCAGTGTGAGAGAATGACCACTCACACAAAATTCATTGTCCACTTGACAAGCAAAGGACACTGTGGTTGTTGATCCTTTCAACATGGATGTACCACAACATCTGCTTGGGAATAGTACATATCTGCTATAGAGAACATAGACACAATGGCAATAGAACAAGGCAACTTTAACAGCTTTGTGGACCATGTGTTTATATGAAAACTGTATAGATATAGACTAAATGAAAAATCTTATAAAATCTGATATTAACCTTCTCCACACAGCTGGGTGAAAGTTCACATTGCATTCAAAAGTTAAATAACTATTATCAATATCCATCAGTGAACTTAGCATCAAATTATGGTAGTTTTGGGACATTATGTTCTAGTGCTGGATACATTTTTGTGTCTAAAATGCATATTTGAAAGGTACATGAATTTTTACTCAAACAATTTAGTGAAAAACAAAGTGAGACTTAGCTTAGTTATGCATTTAGAGGGCAAATGTTCATATACTTCATGCCACACAGTATGTCATGTACGAGAATATACCAATTTGATCCTGCTCTGTTTCATTGCTTTTCATAGATAAACTACTTCTGTGGTACAAGGTAAGCAATAAAACAATAAAATTAAAAGAAAACAGATGTGATATAATGTTAATATAATTAAGTGTAAAATGTGGTGACAAATGATGCAGTCAAAGAAGGAAAAAAAATATTATTAATTTTATTTCATAATTTTCAACTTTCCATTTAATTTCACTACAGTAGGATGTAGAAAAAATGTGATAAACTCTAAACTTTTACCAAGAAAAACTTGTGATATTCATTTAGGAGGTTTTAGAGGTTAAGCAAATGAAATATGAAAACAGTAAGATGAAGAGAAGTACTTCTTAACATGAAAATCACCTTTTACTCAGACTGACTCAGTAAAAGATTCATAATTTCACAGACAAGCTTTGAGTAAAAACACTTTATTAAAAAATTTGACTTTTCATATACAATAGACTGACAACACTAAAAGCTTGCTAAATTTCACGTAGATACTCCTAGTAAATTCCGAGTTCTGGTATGTATAGCTTTAGCATTCAAGGGGCTAGGGTCATTTGGACCAAGCTGTGCATGTAGTGTTAATAAAAGCTGATAGAAAACATATGATATCGTTGCATGTCCCACCCTCACCTACTGTACTGTCTGTAAACCTGTCTGTTTTAAAGTGCAGTATATTGTCCCAGAAGAGAGATTTTGTTACTTTCAAACAAATATAATTCAACATGAAAATATTTTAAAGAATGTTTAAAGAAACAAAATAAATATTCTAGAATAATGGGTTATTCCTAAGACTTCTAATTATGAGATATATCTAATCACTTCCCACAAAACCATATGTTATTTCTCAAACCAATTTATTCACTTTATGGTGATGTAAATAGTGTATAATCTTTTCTAACCAATGATACATAAGCTTTTTAATATTGAACTTCATTAGTAGTTCTTCAGATCACATGTTGTGAGATCATAAAAGGATGAAAATAAGAGTTTACTAATGACACTGTATAAAAGAAGGAAAATCACAAGAGAAACAAGAAGTTGATGATTATATTCTTATATTCTTTAGTAAATATAAATGTATCCTTTGGAATGGGTAGACAAAAAAAAATTGTTAGATGGCGAGTCTCCTTGCAGCTGTGCACATATGCAAGTTTGAACAGTTTTCATGTTTTTTTGTGAATTAAATTCAATTAGTGTTAAAAAATGTGAATTTTAAAAGAACTGTTGAGTTCAAATTTGTTGAAATAGAATTGTTATGTAATTTTAAAACTTGATAGGAAGGTGTGCATTTGTGAACCTGAAAGATGCTTTTTTATCGTAATAGGGGCTAAACATCCTTACAAGAGATTAAGGAACATTAAATCAAGAGCAGGGTTAAGCAAATATACAAAATAAATTAAGTAACTATTCATCAAGTGTATATTAAATGCTGAGAGAAGAGCTGGTCTACTTCAATATTTAAAAATGTGAGCTTTCAGCTTCTAGAGATGGCTTTATTCTTTGTTCACACTGTATCTTATTGTACAACCTGGCAAAAGAAGTTCTGGTGTTTTAAAAGAACTAATCACAAATGTCTGTTATTCATGAAGAATGAATGTTGATTCATTTAGCCTGCTTGATGAACACACCTTTGTTTCTGCTATTGACTGAGTGTCAACAATATCTGTGCTCTTCTAAACCCTAACTCTTTTAATGCACAATTAAGTGAGCATATTCCAGTAGCACACAAAGCAAAATGATATTGAGGTAAGAGCTAAATGCTTGGAATTATAACACAAGCTCACATCATTTGTTATGTTACAGTATGCTCCCAGTGAAGGCCCCTTTATTAAAGCTGAAAAGTATCCATTCAGCAATAACCACAGATATTAACTGAAGATCCAGTGTTTGGCCAGATAAGATGAAAGAGACATTCAGAGAACAGATTATGGATTTAGTCTTTCCTCAGAACAATGAAAAACTTCTACTTCACTTCATGAAATCACTACATTCATATGAAGAATGATGAAAAAAACCCTTTCAAACGTGATTTGTTTCCCCTACTTTCTGTGGGAAAAGTTAAACTTCATGATCCTTGTGAAAGAAACTTTATTGGCCAGAGTGGGTTGCAAGCTAATTTTGATGCAATATTTAAATTAAATGATTGAGTGTCTTAGATGCATGGTAAAGAAGGAAATTCCTGACCATTATCTGAGCAAAGATATTCAGAATGAATTGATTGAGTTGATCAAGGCTTACAGATATTTTTTGAAATGTTAATTGGCTTTCTGTGAGAAAACAAGTCTTATGATTCTCATAAAGGAAAGTTTCTTGGTCAGACTGAATATCTAACAAAGTTTGATCCAATAATGAGTAAGCATTTTAGAAGAATAGAAGAAATTGCTGACAATTATGTGAGAAAAAATATTGGAACAAATTGATTGAGGTAATAGGAAATTGCATCCTTCAAAGTAGACTCAAACAAGTCTATAGTGCAAAATATTTTGTCATGATTATAGATTATACTCTAGATGTAGTCACACTAAACAACTATCTATGACTTTGTGGGTAATGACCAGTAAACTTGCCAGTAGTGCATCTGTAATGGAGCATTTCATTGGTTTTTTTACCATTCATGACACTAACGGTGAGGGTCTTGTGTAATACCCTACTAGGTCATCCAAAAAAGCTGAATATCAATGTTGGAGACTGCAAAGGACAGTCAAACAACAATGGTTGAAACATGAAAAGTGTTAGGTGTTTTACATTACTGTCTGAATTTGGTTATTCTGGATGGTACATAGTTATCAGCTTTGTCTTTAACATATTTTGGTATCCTATAGTGCATCTACATTCTTTTTAGCTCCTTTTCTTGTTGATGGTCTATATTAAGGGATCATGTCATATAACTGGTGAGAAAGTCATAGTGATAATGTAATGGTGCTTTTCTAGCACCTTAAGGAATTGTTAGATCATTTGTTGCCCTTGACATTCATGCATTAAAAGAAAAAATGGTTTCTAGGATTTGGAAGCTTCATTCTGTGCCTTATTTTATGGCACCACATCTTGTACTAGGTTAATCAGGGAAGCAAAATCCTTCAAATCTC